AAGTATTGTAAAACGTATAAAAAAAATTTTTTTATCAATTGGATCGTCTGTGTAACATGGACGGTCCTACCTCGAGGTATAGCTAACTCAATTTTGTAAAAAATGCCATAAGCCTTATTTTAATTGACGCATCCCCATATGCTAGATACGCTGTTTTTAGTTAAGGTTTTTACAAGATAAACCTAAATAACCGGAAATGTAAAATTGAACTCAAACTATAAATACAGAGGTTTATCCGCCAAGATTTCGAAACTACGCCTTCTGGAGTTTTTTTTCTACTAACACCCTACAAATAATCAAATAAATAAATATAATTTTTCTTCTATAAAGTTCAACCATGAATTTAGATATGGAATTTTTCCAGCCAAACGATATTTCTGTTCTCGTGACAATCTTAAGTTTATTTGTGGTCGTATTCAGTCTTGTCTCTATGTTCGTCAAAGAAAAGTAAGATTGTGTCATCTACGATATTGATCTGTTGCATTTTTATGAATCATTATAAAACAAAAGAAAAAAAAATTTTTTATTTAGATTATATCTTTCTGAACCTCGTAAGTTCGATGTATTGAGTATTGTCCAATTATTTTTCACATGATATTCTCTCGATAAAATATTTCCTGCTTATTTACTTGTTAGTCGTGTGTGTTGCTGTCGGCATCGCACTTGGTCCAATCGGTTTAAATATCGTTGCTCCCGACAAATGGGGTGGCAATATCGATGTAATTACTAGAGAATTTATGCGATTCGTTATTGCAATTCAGGTAGCTTACAAGCTTTAGAATCATTATTATAAATATAAAATTTATTCATTTGCATATTTTTGTTGACAGGTCATGGCCTGCGGGGTCGCATTACCAAAGTTAATTTCCAAGCCCTGTTGAATCAAAGTTTTTGTTGTTTGTTAGCTATTCTTTTTATTACAATGTCATTATTATGGTTATACGATTATTTGTTCAGGGCGTATCTCTGGACTCAACTTAAATCAATGCTGCTTCTCCTTATTCCAGTAATGAGCTGGATGTGGATAATCAGCGCACTCTCTATTTGGTGGTTGTTTCCAACCCTTTCATTCGCAAGTATAAAATTTTACTGTGCTATGTTATTATATGGCATGTATAAATAATCTATTTCTTTGGGTTTCATGGTTTAGTTAGAATCTTTGATGATTGCTTCATGTATCGCGCCAACAGATCCGGTGAGTTAAAAATTCATTGAATTCATTTTCATATTATAAAGATTTAAATTTATTAATTTGTGTAACATACAGGTATTGGCGAATTCTATGCTCAAAGGAAGATTTGCAAAAAAATATATATCAGTTGATCTTCGTGATCTTATTTCTGGAGAAAGGTAAGACGATATACCGGTACTTTAAATTTGTTGTTAATATTGCTAACTTTTTTTAATAAATAAAGTGCTGCAAATGATGGTAATGTATAAATTTCACACTCTTACCTAAAGTCTCAAAAGTAAATAATAAATGATTTTATATGATCTTCAGGTTTGGGATTTCCGTTCTTGTATATCGCGATTTACCTTGCAAAAATGTCTCCCGGAGAAGCATTCGGTAGATGGTTCCTATTCATCGTCTGTTATCAAGTTGTTTTAAGCATTTTAATTGGATTTGTGATTGGTATGACGTTATTTTTTCTCTTTCTCTTGATCATTTCTTCCATAAATCATGCTTTCTTCATTTAAATATTTGATTAAATAAGGATATGTTGCACGCAAATCGCTACGTTGGGCTATGGATAAGTTCGTTATTTTTTTCTATTCAATCCTGATGAATTAAATATTTTACTGTTCACTTATTTAATTTTATTTTCAGAAAATTGATTGATAAGGAAATGTTTTTAACATTTGCAGTTGTATTGGCGGTATGTCAACTTCTTAAGTACAGTATTGATTATTATTTGATTTTAATTGACTTCCTCCTGGTTGAATACCGTAGTTGTTCATAATGGGATCGGTTTCAATTCTCGGAAGCGATGAGTTGTTGGCCTGTTTTGTTGCAGGAAACTCTTTTACATGGGAGTATGTATAGTTTTCATATTTATTTATTGAATGTATCTATGCTTCATATCCATTGGGATAAAATATAGTTAGTATAGATGACACCTTAATAATAATAATTAATTGATATAAAGTAGGTGTCACCTATACTATATTTTATTCCCTTTTTTTTTTTTTTTTTAACCATAGTACACGCATATTTATCTTATTTATTCATTATTGCTCTGTTCGTTGTACTTAGCGATTGGTTCCGAGAAGAAACACGAGATAATCATTTTCAAGAAATTATTGATGTGCTTTTGAATTTATCTGTTTTTATCTATATTGGCGCGATTATGCCATGGTCATCATTTAGCAATAGCGAATTAGGATTATCGTACTGGCGGTTGTTTGTCGTTTCAATTCTTATACTTTTATTTCGACGTCTTCCCATTGTATTAATGTTAATGAAGAATATTCCTCCTTTGAAAAATTTCCGAGAAGGTTTTTGTTATTTGAAAAAAGTTACCAGGATTTTATTAACATAAATATTAAATTTAATTGGTTTTATTTCAGGTCTGTATGCTGGCTGGTTTGGACCAATCGGAATAGGTGCCATATTTTACGCAGCAACTGCCAAAGAAGACGGTACTGAAAATGTCCAGAAAATTGTCAATCCAGGTAGTTAAAATTTTTTATTATTTCAATAATGCATGATACCTTAATATTAAAAAAAATATATATTTTTTTTAGTTGTTTTTTTCATAGTTCTTTCTTCAGTCTTTTGTCATGGGATTTCCGTCCCGGTAATTAAAATTGGAAAACGAGTAAACAATTTGTCAAGGACAGCCACTACTCAATCAAACCTCGTGGCCACTACCATAGTCATACAGGATAAGAAAAAAAGAGATCAAGGTCAAACCAATGTAGTGCCAGACGATATAATTATTAAAAGCGAAAATAATAGCGTAGATGAAATTAATATGTCTAAAGGAATAACAAAGGGTAAAACTAATGGGATAACTGACAATATGTCTGATAAAAATGAAATTGATAACGTAGATGAAATTATTATAGTTAGTGAATTGACCAAGAACAAAGATGATGACATTGATGATACTAAAGAAACTGGCGATAATAATTCCATTGATTCGGGACGAGAACGATCCTTATCAGTCGAAGCTAATGCAGGTCTGGAATCGGAAAGCATGTATGAAGAACGTGAGAATGTTGTTATTGAAGAAGATGGAAGTCGCCATGTTTATGTTACTCCAAACCCACCATGAATTTTTGAACATATATGGTTAAGCGAAAATTTTATCTTTAAGATTTATTAATAAATATATATATCGTTTATTAGACCTATTAGGATCATACAATAAGTTATTTCTATATTTATCTAATCAAAATATATGCATGTAAATTTACCATCTGGCGGCTGTTCGATACTTTTCTACCATATAGTCGCGAAATAACGCCATGAGTACTTCAAAAACACTATTTTAGTTTAAGCTACGCCCAAATACGTTCCAAAATAGCGCCCGCTTTGTATTACATGTATTAACGGGTTTAAAAGTTTGACTCTTCAAATAACATGAGGAGTTTCGAATAACGTGCAGGGGTGCATTATTTCGCGAACATACGGTAAAGTGAAATTTTTTAACCTCTATTTAAAAAATAATATCGGTACTGTAAATGAAACAATAAGACGTGTCAAAGGTAGATCTAATTAGCATTTTAACTAGGGATATTTGAATATCTGTGACATTTATTATAAAAGGCACCTATGGTGGTTTTGCGCCTATTATATGTTTTATTATGCTTTTTCGATCTTTCTAAGTTTTGAATATAAAAATTTCAACACAAATTTCCATGTTTGAGTTAGGGTTTTGGAAGGTTTTTAGGGGCGTAGAACATTTTTACTTGAACTCCAGTTTTTGAGATAATATATACATAGGTGTAAAGGCGGCGTCCATAATTTACGTTAAACCAATACTGTATTGTATAGAAATAGGGACCTTGATAATAATATCATAATGGTATTATTTTTGTATTTTCTTCAATATTTCTATAACAATACTGGTTTAACGTAAATTATGGACGCCGCCAAAACACCATAGGTGCGTTAGTAAAAGTCATTTGTGAACTAATATATAATTAACAATAGATAATTTCACTTATCGTTATAAGACAATATAATATATATATATATATATATTTGTTTTGATTTGGTATTATTATCTGAATATCAAGTAATAATAACGTATGATATTTGAATAAATATTTATTTAAAAAATAATTTGTTAAAAATTTGAAATTGCGCAATTTCTTATTTAATAATAATAATAATTAAAAGGAAAAAGAAAAAAATGTCATCCTGATAACAACCGGAATTTAAAAATATATATATATAATTTTGATCTTAACCAAAAAAAAACAAATTTAAAAAAATTCAATTCTGATTTTAACCAAATTAATAAAGATTGATTTTTGATTGGGTAGGCGGGCAAAGAACAAGAGTTCTTTAACACCTAGTTGTCATGTTTTCAATACATTTCATCTAAAACTTTTGGGAGATCACGTTATACACAACAGCGAAATCTGGATCCTCAATCTTTCGGTATTTTGTAGCCCAAAATTTTTAGATGATCGAGTATTAAAACATGACAACCCGTCGTTAATTCCTAATATTCTGCCGGCCCGGAGTAGTTAGATAATATTAAGCATACAAACATTTTATCTGTGCACGTATAAAATGTTATTATGCTTAAAGAAAATTGTCAATGTTAAAATCACCAAGATTAACATTGATGATAACGGGTTGCACCAAATAAGGATCATCATTTAGCATCTGTAATTGTTTAATTATATATTTATCTATTCGATTAAATAGAATCAATGAATGTTATATACAGGAATATTTACATGTGGTGGTGGTGGTGTTAGCGGTAGTGGTGGTGATGGTGGTGGCGATAGTGGTGGTGAAGATGGCGGCGATGATGATTGTGACGATGATGATGGCGGTGTGAGAGGTAGGTCCTCCCAACACGAAATGTAGGCCGGCGAAACATCTGGAATTATGGAAATAAAATTAATATTTCTTAAGCAATTTAGTTAAATATTGCCCACAGTAAAATATAAAGAAATAAAATTTACGGTCCGAGCCGGATGGTGAAAACGTATCTCCCCCACCCTTTTGTTGACTATCATCAAGATTTTTCATTTTTTTAGGTCTCGGGCCTCTTGGCGTTAATTTGTCGAAGACGCATTTAAGGCCGCGCTTCGTGCATCGATCACATATATCTGGACCTGTATGTCCAGTGCATTTTGCTTTTTTGACCCTGCACTCTTGGCAGGCTAAGGTTGACCGTTTTTTTTTTTTATTATTTACTTTGCTCATGTTTGCGGCATAGCCAACGACACGTTAGTTTATAAAAAAACCACTTATTTAAGAATCAATATCTTGGATACGGGTGGGTGGGGGAGATTAATTTGTTTATAGCTTATTCTTTTTCTTCCTTTTTTTTTTTTTTTTGGATATGCGAGATTCTGTATGATATATTCAGATTCAGATGAGGATTAATTTATTAATTTATCCTAAGTAAGTTCCAAAGGAAGGAAGTGTGTATTTATAAGTCATCCTAACGATTTGCAGAATGAGGCCACTCAAAAAAAATGGGGACAGCTACAATGTCACGGATGAGATTTGACCAACTCTGGAATTACATTGAATTAAAAAAAGAAAGGCTGGCAAAAAATACTGTCATGTGCAACAAAGCTATAACTGCGGAATCAATCACGTTATATGACAAATTGAGGTAAATTCTCCTGTTTTGGTATATCTCGGAGTTTCTTACAATTACAGTACTTGTGCGATCGCCGGATAAACTCCTACGTAGGTGCAGTACGTACGTACGTGCCCTCGCTTGTAAGATATGTAGTCAGGCCTCTCTAAACTCACTCTATAAAGACCAAACTTTTAAAACATGCATTTAGAGAACAATAAGAAAAGTGCATTTATGGAGGTCAAGTATATATTTGGGCCAAAATTTGAAAGTGCATTTAGAGAGGTTGTGCGTTTAGAGATTTAGAGAGGTCTTATTGTATATGGTCATGAGCATGATAAGCATTGATGATGCCATCAATATTGATATAAATGCTAAGTGAAAAAATTGACGATTGTCGTATGTTACAATATTATACTAGCAAGCACAATCCTATTTTACTTTGGAAATATTGAAGCTTATTTTACATAGAGAGAAATGCGTCAACTTTAAATGGTTTTGCGCCAACTTTCAATGAGAATCCGAAACCAGTTAGAAACCAGTTAGAAACCTTTCCTGATTTGGTTCAGTCAAAGAACCTGCTTGATACTGGATTATGACAAAAAATAAAATAAAATAAAATAAAATAAAAATAAAATTATAGTGTCGTATTAATCACTCCCGTCTATCGAGTTTTCTGACTTGATAACAGACAAGCTTAGTGTTGTACATTTCGATGATGAAGATGCATTTTAGCAAACGAAGAATCACACACCAATCATTTAATGCTAAAATGAATTGATGCAATGTGAACACCTTATAAGCTCCCCATTTTGACAATTTAAAATCTAAAGTTTCCTTGTGACCAAATTTTTACGCAATTAACATTAAAAACGCTTCTTTTTGACACGTACCCAGTGCACACATACATATATACTTTTTTAGTCATCGTTCATACTAAACAATTCGGATAAATTATCCTTGGTTCATGTATTTATAATTGTTAAACATGATATGGGTGATGATAAATTGATAATCAAATACGTAATCACTAACGCGGTTAAACTTTATTTATTAATATTACTAAATTTGATTTGGCATGTTCTTTAAAAGTATGTATAGTATGGGCACGAGACATTTTGGCGCCAAATTTTTTATAGTAATCTTAATAACCTAGATATCGATTGGTTATAGAGATCTTTCTTCAAGGTCCCTTAACGTGTCCCTTTATTGGTTTTTCTCATTATTATATTGTATATAAAAAATTTTATACAAAGTAAATTGTTTCTTACAGCATGTGAAAGTATAATTGAAATTTTGATACCATGTTTCAAAAACAATTATTTTTTTATTTTAAATTCTTATAATATTTATTATATACTACTACTACGTAGAAACCCAAATCTCTTAAGCACAGTAACTGCATAGTTACTATGTATATAGTTAAATTTAATAGTAATCATGTAATTACTATGCCGTTACTGTGCATTAAAATAAATAATTATGGCATACTTATTAATAAATTATGTTTTAAAATTTATTGTTTAGTTTTAGAAAACTAGTTTCTTTTCTAACATTTCTATACCTCATATAAATATATATATACAGTATATACAGTATAATAGTTTAATTAAAGTAGAGAATTATATTTAATAACGTCACACTCTGGAGATTATTTTACCAATTTTTTTAAATTTTGTTTGGTGATATTTTGGCATCTACCTAACCAAAATTAATAAATAATTTTTTAGAAATTAAAAAACTTAATCAAAAAAAAACAAGTTCATCAAATTCATTTAAAATTTTAAACAGAAAAATAATTGTAAAGATTTGTTTTTAAATTTTGATGAAAAATAACTTAGCATCTATCTGAACAAAATTAACAACCTTTTTTTATTTTATTTGTAGAGATTAAGAGAATTCAAATAAAAAAATAGTTATTAATTTTATCAGATAAATATCAAGATATCTTTAATCAAACCTTAAAAACAAATTTTTATTTAAAATTTTATAAAATATTAATTAATTAAATTTTATAAACTTCTTTATTATTTAAATTTTTTTTAATTTTTTACAAATAGTATAAAAAATATTTAACAATTTTAGATAAAATTTTCACCAACTCTTTTCAACAATCACTTGCACCAAAATTTCTACTAATAAAAAAACAAAAATTTTGTTAAAGAGTTGTGGCCTATAAAGTGGTTTTTTTAGCAGGTCAATGTTTGCTCTACAGAATTCCTCTATAGGTAATATTTGGCATATAAGCCAAAAGCATTATTATACAAGATAACTGGCAGGAGATGCTCTTGTATAAAAAATCTTGGTGAAGTATGGTTTGCCCAGCTTCATTAACAAAGCTTCTAAATTGTTACTTTAAAAAAAAACACATGAGAAGCAACAAATTTATTTTTCTTAAGTTACACTTCTTTTACTAAATCAAGTAGATTCTTTATTACTTTCTCTTATCTTCTTGCCAGTCTTCTAAAAAATTTTGACAAAAAATGAAGATTTGGCTTGCTCTCTTCAAAAAATCAGCATTATTTACTTTGTAAATTCAGACAAACTAATAGAATACAATCACATATTTGTTTATAGATGAATATGATACTACTTTATGAGACTTAGCCCAGAAATTTTAATTATGGTAACAGGTAGCTTGAAATACAAGTTCTCAGATGACAGCAGTATCTGGCTTAATATATGAATTAGAACAGACAACAAAATAATTCAGAGTTGGTAGAAAGATCAGAAAGTAAATTTAACATTAAAGCAAAGAAAGCTTTATAGGAGAAATATACAAAGGTTGCATTTGTTATATAATTTTTACTAGCCTTGCACAAATTATAATAGTGCCTTTAGAGTTTTAGTTTTCTTTTTATATTTTTTTTTTTCAAAATTCGTATTTCTTTTTTCTTTATTTTTTTATTTTAAATTCTTATAATATTTATTATATACTACTACTACGTAGAAACCCAAATCTCTTAAGCACAG